GAGATTGCTCAACCTTCCTTCCGAGGAGTGGCTGGTGGGTTTGAACCACCAGCCTTCTGGTTACCAGTCATGTGCCTTAGGCACTATGCTACCAGAGCTCCTCTAATAATATCCCCTAATAATATCTACTATTCATGGCTTAGTGAATAAAATGAGAATTTTACTAACATTATTTTTTAGTCTTATAACAACCTCTCAGATAAGTGTGTTGCTTTTCTAATTTACCAGATGATTTAACTGAGGATTTAGACACCTTGCTAATATAGTTCCAGATGATTCAATGTCAGAGAGCAAAGCAGAGGTTTGAATCCAGGTATAATTAGATGGTGCAAATGTTAACACTCTCACTCCTACCTAAAAGATCATAGGTTTGAATCCACTCAGATGGGCCTCAGAAGAAAGCTGGCCATCTACTTAAGAAAAATCAGCTATTGAGAACCCTATAGAGAACAGTTCTACTCTGACACACATGGGTCACTGTAGTAGTTAAGGTTGTATGTCAACTTGGCTGGGCCTGGTTTTGAGTGGCTGGATAGCTAGAGGTAGTTTTTACCCATAATAAGACTGGCAAACAACTCCATGGTGGAATCTCCATGGTGGAGCTGCTGCGTAGCTGCTCTAGAGATATGGCCTACTTCTAGTATTTAAAGAGAAGTTTTAAGAAAGGTTTCTGAAGTTTTTGGTGCACTTGAATCCTGCTTGTAGCTGAGTTGTTGTTCAGCAGCTTGCCATGTTGTCTGCCAATCTTGGAACCATTACTGGACTTCAATTAGTGGCCTGCCATATGGTTTGATAATTTTGGGACTGTGCCATTTTACTTGTTGACCTTGGGCTTGTTAGCCTCAGCAGCCAGGAGCTTCCCAAGTGAAGAGATGCTCTTAGCTCCAGTAGGCTAGGCATAAAAGGCAGAGCAGAAGCCCAAGATGGAGGGGCTTTCACTCAGCCTCTAGAGCTTTGCCCTTTGAACTCAGACTTCTAGTCTCCCAAACTGTAAGAGAATAAACTCCTGTTTGTTAAAGCCACCCATTTGTGGTAATTTCTGTTAGAGTGTCACTAGAGGTAACTGAAACAGTTACTTTGAGTTAGAATCAACTTAATAGCAACTGAATATTTATACCCAAAGTCTATGCTCTTTTTTCCTTTTTTCATATCACATTTTCTCAGTCATCCATTTTGTATCATTTTTAGAGCCAAGAAGCTATATGTACCTCATAGGTGACAGCTTCCATAAAAAAAAGGTTGATCCTTCTCTTCCTGTCCTAGGTACCTATCAGAAAACTAATTAAGGTTCATCAAACCAGTCTGCATGTTGGCAACACCAAAATATGAATTGTCCTGAACAAAATCATTGACTCTTACAAACTATGTAGGTTTTCATCCATTCTTTCCATCTTTTCAGGTTTGTATTGCCAGTGCATCCTTTTCCCTTGAAATTGACAGATCACTCTCTCATGTCACTCAATATCTGTTCACCAGACTTATTTATTCCAAAATGGGTCAATGTCAAGCTAAATCCATTTATTTTCCAATTATTGCACCCCTAGCCTGATACTTGTTCCTTAAAACTCTTTGAGAATAAATAGTATTAGAGCAGAAGACAAGGCTTCCACAAAACCTGGCCCCTTGTCTATTTTCTTCCTCTTCCAATTCTTCTTTTTGGACACAGAGCATGTGATGAGAATCTGCTCTGTGCCAGACACTTTGTTAAACACCATGAGCAAAAAGTACAGTACGAAACCAAACAAAATCCTCTGCTTTTGAGTCAAGTCAAGTACATACAAACTAGTATTAATAAGGGTCAAAGTTAATTTAGGAAAAGGTCTATGCAAGCCAGAATTGTAAATTTTCTCAATTGTTACATCATGTCATTTACATAAGTGGCTATAATGTGCAGTGGAAACAAGTCAAAGACACCAAAAACTGTGTGTGGTAGTTGGAAGCATAGACACTGGAGCCAGACACCATAGGTTCAAATCCCCAATCTGCCACTTCCTAATTGTGTCAACATTGGTCATGTTGTGTTGACATTGGTCAAGTACCTCAACTTCTGTGCAACGTTTATAACCTGTAAACAAACTTAGCTCCTAGGTTTATTTTTAACTGCTCTATGTCTATTTAGTTACTAAGTTAAAATGAGTTACCTATTGTTAGGAGATAAATGGTTTCAAACATGGTATTGTTCCTCTTTCTCCTCTTATTACGATATCACAGGAATTGCTGTGAGAATAATGTGTAAGAGAAAAGATGTTTGGAATCAAATACTTTAATTCGGATATATTAATATATAGTAATTTTTCATAGGAGTCCCTGGGAGGTGCAAACTGGTAAGCATTAGAGTACTTACTGAAAGGTTGGTGGTTCAAACCCACCCAAAAGCACCTCAGCAGATAGGCCCAATAATCTGCTTCCTAAAAGTCACAGCCTTGTAAACCCTCTGGAGCAGTTCTACTCTACACAAATGGTGTTGCCAGAGTCAAAATTCACTCCACGGCAACTAACAAAGCATTTGACTGCTAACCAGAAGGCTGCTAGCTCAAGCCCACCAGCCACTCCTCGGAAGGAAGATTGGGCAATCTACTTCCATAGAGACACCACCTCGGAAACCCAAGGACAGGGTGCTATGAGTCTAATCGACTCCACAGGAGTGATTTTTTTCTTTTTTAATAATATTTATATATTAGTAGTTATGAATACAGGACCAAGAGAGAGGAAGACACTTCAGATTCTTAAATTTGTAGCTTAAATATAAGTTCCATTAATTCGTTCTTTCAACAAATACTCATTGAATACCTTTTACTACATGGGAGTCCCTGGGCAACAAAAACAGTTAAGCCCTTGGCTACTAACTAAAAGATTGGCAGTTTGAATTCACCCAAAGTGCCTCAAAAGAAAGGCCTGGTGATCTTCTGATAGGTTACAGCCATTGATCACCCTAGGAAACTGCAGTTCTACTCTGAAACACATGGTGTCGCCATGAGTCATAATCCTTTCTATGGCAACTGCTGGTGGTGGTGGTGGTAGATTAAATACATGTGAGAAACTGTTTCAGGCACTTTGAGAAAAGCAGTGAAGAAAATGGACAGAAACCACTGTTCTCATGAAACTTTCATTCTATAATGGATACAAGTCACCTCCACATATAACACTCACTTTCTCTCTGGGAAAAATCACACACACTCAGTGGCGTCACTAGGGTTGGTGTCACCCCGTGTGATAACTCATGGTGTCACACACACCCCCATAGACCTCCTCCAATCCCAGATCTTACAAAATCCTTAGTAATGTTTATTAGCAATTTTAATCATAGAATAATATGTAATAATATATTTGTAAATTGCTTAAATGTAATATTTCTTGGATTATATGAATACTAACAAAATTGTTTTGTAAAACCTTTCTACATTACTAGTTACAATACTTGGAGCTCTGGTGGCAGGATGCCTAAGGCATTTGACTGCTAACCAGAAGGCTGGCCGTTCAAACCCACCAGCCACTCCTGGGAAGGACCCACCCACCCATTGCTGACAAGTCGAATCCGACTCATGGCGACCCCTCTTTGGGTTTCGGAGGTCGTATCACTACGGAAGTAGATAGCCCAACCTTCCCTTCCCAGCCTTCTTGTTAGCAGTCAAATGCCTTAGGCAAAGGTTGGGCAATCTATTTCCCTAGTGATACCCCCTGGGAAATCCAAGGAGGGGTCGCTATGAGTCTGATCCAACTCCACGGCAGTGCGTTAGTTACAATACTAACAGAAAAATCCCTTTTTTCCATTTCCTTTAATTACTGCTTCATTGTTAAAAAAAAGTACTGATATAGGTTCACAAATACTAATTACTACAATATTGTAGCTAAAACACCAGAATATTTGACAAATGCTATAAAAATGCACCAAAAAAAAAAAAAAAAACAGTGCACAGAGCCGAAACCAGGTGATTCCAAGCATTGTTGTTGTTGTTATGTGCCAACAAGTCCTACGGACTCATAGCGACCCTTCCTTGGGTTTCAGAGGCAGTATCACTACGGAAGTAGATTGCCCAACCTTCCTTCTGAGGAGTGGTTGGTGGGTTTGAACTGCTAGCCTCCTGGTTAGCAGTCAAGTGCTTTAGGCACTAGCTACCAGACTTGTAATTGGGTAATAATAACCCCTCGACCAGAGCTTATTAAAAACTAAAAAAAAAAAAAAAAGTTCAAAAAGTAAGTTAGCATAGAGTTTTAGCCATGTAAAACAAAACAAAACAAAACAAAAACTAACCCAAACTCACTACTGTCTAGTTGGATCCCACTCATCTTGACCCCTCCTTGCGTTTCCCATACGGTATCTCTGTTGTGTGCTGTCCAGTCAGACCCGACTCACAGCGACCCCTCCTTGGGTTTCAGAGGCAGTATCACTATGGAAGTAGATTGCCCAACCTACGGAAGTAGATTGCCCAACCTATGGAAGTAGATTGCCCAGTCTTCCTGCCGAGGAGTAGCTGGAGGGTTTGAACCGCTAGCCTTCTGGTTAGCAGTCAAACGCCTTAGGCACTATGCCATAAGGCGCTCTGGTGGAGTAGTGCCTAAGGTGTTTGAGTCGGAATGGATTCGATGGTAGTGAATTTAGTTTTTGGTTTGGTAGGTAATCTGGGTTTTAAAAAATATTTTTATTGTTATAACTAATTACAGGGATTTTTTTAAAAAAGAAAATAATAAATTTCGGCTGAAATGCTGCACAAAAATTTTATAGAGTCATTTTGGTGTCATTGTCTGAGACTGTCATTCGGAGTAGTCCGCACCGCCCCCCGCCCCCCGCCCCCCGCCCAGTGACGCCACTGCGTGACAGAAGCGCGCACGCGCGCACACACACACACACACACACACACACACAATCAATCAATCAACTTGCAACCTTATACAGCAAGTTGGTAATTCACTACAGGAGCATTACTAACTTACAGGCCACTGAATGGACTTCCTTAAGTTTGCACTTGAGATGCCCCTTTTGCCTCTTTTCCTAACGCTAGCCCTGACACTTGGGCAGACCTGCAGTCCTTGGCCACCCTGTGCCTGACCGGCGCGCATCGCGCCCCCAGCCGCCGGCCGCCCCTTCAGGTTGCCAGAACCGGCACCGCAGCCTGTGAACTCGCCGCCTTGTCTTCAGTGAGCCGGCTCAGGCGCGGGTTCTGAAATAGCGCTGGGTACCAGGGGAGGACCGCCGCAGGTCAGCCCTATCCTACGACCTGGTACCCCAGCCCGGAGGTCTCAGCCCTCGGAACCGGGGACGCTCTGGGTGCGAATGACTTTGGCAGCGGCTGGTAGCCTCCTGACACGTCACCAATTTGACAGCCTTGCGCCAAATCAGAGGGCGGCTCAACCCGCGAGCCCCGGGGCGTCACCAAAAACTCCTGCAGATTAGAACTCGCCTCTCCTAGCTCCTCCCCTCAGTCCCATTTAAAGCCCAGAGAGCTTTACTGAAAATTAAGCGTGCTCTCAGTTTCTACAACGCCTTTTTCCACTGCAAGATGGTAAGTGAGAAGCTGGTGTTAGCTAACCCACTGGCGAAACCGGGGACTCTTTGAGCTAGTAAGCGTTGCATTTAGAATTTCTTTCACCCTAGATGCAAGATTTCTCTGCTACGTACCCATTAAAGCAGATCATTTCTTCTCCCTTGCATCACATCACCCTTTTCTTCTCCCCTGTTCATTCCTGCCTTTCTCTGGTCTGATCTTTATGCCCTCCTCTCTCTCTCTCTCTGTCTCTCTCTCTCTCTGTGTATGTATGTGTGTGTGTGTCTCATCTTTTGCCCTCTGTTCTACTTTCCTTGCTAATCTGCAGTTTTTGCTCTCTCTCCACCTCCACTCACTTTTGATTCCACCTCTTTCTCTAGATTATGCATATATTTGAAAACACTTGGGCTTGAACTAATCTGGTGGTATTTGGGATTTGTTTTCTTCTCAGGTGTCAATTGCATAATAGCTCAACTCTGATTCCAATAACCTCATGGAAGGAGCCTGCAAATATGCTTTTAGATTAAAAGAAAATAACACTTGATAAGCTTTTGGCTGAATTTCCTTAGTCTGCGCTGCCCAAGCTGGACTTATTTTAGAACTGGACTTTTTCTTGCCGGGAACATAAACAAAGTGTGACTTAATTGACTTACCTTTTCCCTCCCTTCTTAATTGTTTTCTCTCTGCTTATATTATGCCCAAGAAAGTCCTCAAGTCAACAAGAGCCATTGGTCAAAAGTGGTCAAAAAGAGTTAGTCCAACTCTAAGTGCTCCTTAAAATGAATGGCTTTTACCTGATTAAACATTTACAAATAATTAGAAATGAGCCGTTGTACAAATTAACCCAGGAAGGCTGCATACCTGCCTTTTCCTGGCTATTTGGAAAGACTGTGTTTGAGGTTTGAGGAGTGGGGGGAGGAGGATGTTCACTGGATCAGAACACAGAGAATACACACCAGGCAGTTAGTGGTGATGAGCTAACTTTGGAAGGGCATTGAGACCTAATGATGGCATGAACTAGAGTTTCTTTCAGTTTTGGTTATTTTGTTTGGAGTGACTTTATGCTCCTGTGCTTGGAATTAGGGTTTGAGATGGAAACAGCATTTATTTAATTATATCTGGAACAGAAACATACACATATACATATATATGTGTGTGTATGAGGTATGTATGTGTGTAACAAGTTTCTCATTCAGAAACTGTAATAAGGGTGTTAGAAAATATAATGCCACATTCTATCCATTTCAGTCTTAGCATCCCAGCCTCTTTGTCTTTCAAGGTTATTAGAAATATATTGAAGACTATTTTATAGAGATAACCAAATGGTTCTTAATGCCTTTGACTCATTAAGTAGAAATCTTTTTACTTTGATTCTGTGTACCCAGACATTGTAGAAGTACTTCTGAATATTACAAACTCGGTCCGTCCAATCCCAGTCTGTTCTCTCCTCAGGGAAATACTGGGAAGGCAAAGAGCTGATTCCCTTTTGGTAATTAATCAAATATTTGATCTATAATTAACACCTTTAATATTTTTGACTCACTGCATCTAATTTCTGCATCTTTCTCTCATCCTTTCCCCCTCCATATCCTCATCACCCCTTTTCCTGGTATCTCCCTACCCCCTTGTGCTGAATTTTACAGAACACCATTTTGCCTTGCCAAGACCAGTACTTTGTAGGAGGCCAGAGTTATAATTGCCCGTATTCCACTACAACGTCAGAATCTAGTGTTGACGTTTCCAGGGAGACTTGGGTCTCTTTCTGGGCTGCTGGTCTCCTGGACAACAGAGAGCCCCAACAAGCACCACAGGCACAGGGTAAGTTTTGCTCTTCTGCTTTCCTGGTTGGGTTTGGGGCCTTTTTCCAGCACCAACAGTTGCAAAGCATCATGGCCTGGGACTCTGTAGAAGGGATGATATGGAACGTAAAAGCAAGCCCGAAGACTCCTACATTTTACAACTTATAATAATTTGTTATTTTATACTTACTGCATATTGAAAGTAGGAGTCTCTCCCTAGCCTGTGGGACAACATGTATCTATCCCTACATCTTAATAGTTCTTGGGATTTCCAACTCACTGAGAGAGTTTGTGTCTGAGTCAAGGTTTTAGAAAAAAAAAAAACTCTCTAATGGTATGCTTTGGGAGTTAAAACACCAATTGAAGTTTTTTTTTTTTTTTTAATTCAGGAAGACTTCCTTGTGTTTGAGCAAGGAGAAATACTAATTTAATCTTTTATCACATAGAGGAAATCCTGTGAAGAGATGTCTTTTACCTAAAGCATTCTTCATCTTTCATCTTTGGGGAAACATATAACAATGATGGAAAATTAGATACTAATTTTACTCTGGAATTTATTAAACAATATTTATAAGTATTAAAGGAATTTCTTAACACTCAAGTTTAAGGAAAAACTCAAATGACATTAAAATTAAATATCTGTATTCTAGTTTCTGCCACATGCTCTCTCTCTCTCTCTCTCTCTCTTTTTTTTTTTTTTTGTTTTGTTTTGAATTTAAGAAAGACACACTTACCCCCAAAAGACTGAAACACACTTACATAATAGGGGAAGGAATCCCCCAATTTTTAGCTTTCTACCACAAGTACCAGAGAAAATACTGCCCAGATATGAAACCAAACTGTTTATAAAATTTTACATCTGTCCCCTTACTTTTCATGCCAGTTTTAATGAAAATATTTTAGTAACAGTAGTTTAAATAGAGTATGACAAGCAGCCAGGTTTATAGGAGATGAGGAAAAGAAAGTAAAAGTGAACCAATTCTGCATGCCCAGGCATAGTTTATTGACAGGTATAGTTTGCTGTCAGATATAAAGACAAGGGGAAAAAAAAGAAAAAGAAAAACTCTATCAAGGAGCTCAAATGATATGCAGACGGCATCATTGAAAACAGATGAAGTTTGGGTACAATTTTGAGACATTTCATCAAGATCTTCAAAGAAGAAAGTTCTAAATAATTTTAGAGTGAAAAGTGCTACTGCATAGAATTCTAAATAAATGCCCGCCATCAAATTTAACCACAGATAAACAGGCAGGGCTTTTAATCTGGGAAAAATTATAGCAATGAAAAATAAGTTTTTAGTGTACAGCCATATTATGTACTGCTAAAGTCTAGCATAGTGCCTAAGGCACTTGACTGCTAACCAGGAGGCTGGCGGTTCAAACCCACCAGTCACTCCTCAGAAGGAAGGTTGGGCAGTCTACTTCTGTAGTGATACTGCCTCGGAAACCCAAGGAGGGGTCGCTATGAGTTGGGTCTGACTCGACGACACATAACAACAACAACAACAAAGTCTAGGAAATAAGAAGAAAAGTAGAAAAATGGATTGGAATGGCAATACTATTTCTAGTGGAGGGAAAGTCAATAAATATGTGAGTGAATGCATATTGCAGGTGGGACCATCTTTATAAATTTAGCCAATAGGAATACATATCCTGGGAAAGAATGTGACTTCTTTGCTCCTAAAAATTTCCATTTTAACCACTATGACATATAATCTATAAATATTTGTCTTTCACAGCTTACTTACCTCTTCTGAAAGCATTATTTTTTTAATTTTTTTTTTTTTTACTGTGTAGAAGGTGTAAGTATGCCTTGTGGCCTATTAAACTTTCTGAAAGCCTTTGGTGAGTTTCTTTGCTGCACATAAACTACAAGTGTCTTTTCTCAGTTATTCATTTGGTGTTTTTACATAGAATCATCCAGTGACTCGAATTTCCCTGTTCTGGAGTCATGTTCCTGGGAAGAGGACCAGCTTTCCTCTCAGCTCTACAGAAACAAGCAGGTATATGTATATGTAGACAATCGGGAGCTCTGGTAGCGTAGTGCCTAGGGCACTTGACTGCTAACCAGAAGGCTGGCAGATCAAACCCACCAGCCACTCCTCAGAAGGAAGATGGGGCAATCTACTTCCATAGTGACACTGCCTTGGAAACTCAATAAGGGGTCACTATGAGTTGGGTCCAACTCGACGGCACATAACAACAACAACACATGGAGACCATCAGATCATTGAAATTGGCCACGTGCCATGTGGGACATTCTCACTGACTCTTAACTAAATTTCACGTTTCAATTTTATCCTTTTTAAATCCATATGTTGAGTTTAAGTTTCAAACCAGGTGAGTATATGTCTACAGAGTGAGCAAACTTTGGTGATCCAGGTCACAGAAAGAAACAACATAAAACAAAATATTCCACAATTAGCAGTCAAGCTCTGACCAATACTCAATTCATTTGTATCACCTCTTAGATTTGCCTTTTCCTCATCTATGTAACTGGAATATTTTTGCATCCTACCTCAGGGTACTGTTGGAAAGATCAAATGATATAATGAGCATGATATTTTTAAACCATAAAAATAGTCTTCTGGGAAAAAGATGATGATTATAAAAGTTACTGTAAAGGTTTCTTCATTTTCAATGTTTTATGTTGTTATTCCTGAGAAAATAATGCAATCTAGTGGATCTATAAACAAACCTATCTGAGGATGAGGGAAGCAAATCCATTTTTCCCTATATTTTTCTTTTTTTTTAATGTGCAAGGAAAGAGTCCAGGAAAACTTTTGTAAAACATTCTTTTCTATATTTAAACAATTGCATTCAGCTCGTTTTCCTACTTACCTCCCTATTCCCTTGTGGTTACTATCTTTGAAAGTTCTATAATCTCTTCAAGCATTTTGCAAAGAACAACAACAAAAAAAAATCACAGTAGAAAACTGAACAATCAGGGGGAGGGGGTGTGGATTCAATTTAGGCCTCTAGGGCTAGGGCTCCCTGAGGTTGCATTCATAAAACAAACAGTAAAATAATCAAGTTCAAGCTGGTTTAGGAGCCATGACATTATTATAAGATTACAAAGTCAATATACGGGAGCAGCCTTCACCATTGTCTGCTTTTTGCAGCTCCAAGATACTCTGGTACAGAAGGAAGAAGAACTTGCTAGGTTACATGAAGAGAATAATCACCTCAGACAATACCTGAATTCCGCTTTGGTTAAATGTCTTGAAGAAAAGGCCAAGGTATGCAACTCTCCCCTTTATAGAAATGGAGTAGTGATTTGAGAAAGGAGGCTTTTTGGTGAAATGCCTTGATTAAGTATGAAAAGTTAAATAAACAATGCATTTGAAATGCATTTATAGACTCAATAGGTATTTCTCAATGACATATAGGACATTCCCAAGAATTTCTATGCATTATTTCCCTGAAATATCTAGTTTGCCAATTTTAGCCATACATTACAACATGAGTTAAAAGTCAAAAACCTGTCTAGGGAATTGCTAAAACAACAGAAGTTACTCAAAAGACTGTTAGATGGATAGAACACCATCCATGGATGAATACCATAGATGGATAATTCTCTCAGCAATCAGACCTGAGAGACATCCACTTCTTTTAATTATCTGTTTGACTTTAGGTAAGTCACTCTGTCATTCAAGGCCTCAGTTACCTTCACCTGCAAATGAATAGGTTAAAGAGTCTCCTCAGCTCTACAAAACCCTGAGTACAGCTAGAACCCAGATCTCTTGACTCTCAATTAAACCAAACCAAACCTCCTGTCAACGAGTCTATTCTGACTCATAGCCACCGCCGTCAGGTTTCCGAGGCAGTAAATCTTTACAGAAGTGGATTGCCCCATCTTCCTTCTGCGGAGTGGCTGGTGGGTTTGAACCGCCAATCTTCTGATTAGCAATCAAATACCTTAGGCACTGCAGCACCAGACCGCCTTTGACTCTCAATTAGAAAATATCAAATTATATTATCTTCTAACTTACCCAGAGTCCCTGATGATGAAGACTTTTAAACGTTCAACTACTAACTGAGAGGCTGGCAGTTTGTACTCACCCAGATGCTCCTCAGAAGAAAGATTTAGTGATCTGCTTCCAAAAGGTCACAGCCTTGAAAACTCTATGGAGCCCAGTCCTACTCTCTCAGACATGTGGTTGCCATGAGTCACAGTTGATTCAGTGGCAACTGGTATGCTTTATTTTGTTTTTCAATTTACCTTTTTTCTGCATTTTAAAATTCAAGTAAACTATTTCAAACTCGAGGATAAGTAGTTTGCTCATAAGTTCATTTTTGCTCTTCTTCCTTTCTATGGTTTCTGTATTTTTTATTGTCTATTCACAATTCTAAGTGGGAAGAGGAAACCCAAGGAGCAGAAGCCTTGTATCAATCTTTACCTTACTTGTCAACAAGCTATATGATTTGAAATTATTTCGTTAATTAAGTGGGTGAGGCCTCTGACTATTCTAACAATTTAGAGAATAAATGACACTAGATTTGAATCCTTTACAACCCAATTAGTTTTGTTAAAAGGGAAGCACTTTTCACAACTATTAGTCCAGGCTCCTGACTCCAGCCACCATTCTATGAAAAAAAATAAATAAATAAAAATTAAGTGTGTAATATTAAGTAGTCAGTTTTATCTCATTTGGTCTCAATTTTCCAAGATTTAGAATAATATAATGCATATCGCATGGGAGTGCTAGGAGAGGTAATGAAATAGATGGAAGCAGTGATGCATGGTGTTGAAATCAGGTGTTCTATCTAGATTAACATGATTTAGGTTTAAATCTAGACATGTGATTTTCAGCAAGTCACTAATATATCTGTGCCTCAGAGTCTTCATTAAGGGTATTTTAATAGCATCTATATCAAATGAGAGGAGCTCTGGTAGAGTAGTGCCTAAGGCACTTGACTGCTAACCAGAAGGCTGGCGGTTCAAACCCTTGGAAGGAAGATGGGTCAATCTACTTCTGTAGTAATACTGCCTCGGAAACCCAAGGAGGTGTCGCTATGAGTCAGGTACGACTCGATGGCACATAACAACCACAACAACATATCAAATGAGATAATGCACAAAGTCAATGTTCAATAAATGTTAGCTGCTATTGTAATAATAATAATAATAACTTCCCTGAATTGTGATTTTAGAGATATCTTCTATTCCTTCTAACTCTTAAACAACTAGTAAAAAATATAAATTCGTGTTTCTGGGTGGTAAATTGTCATTGTAGGTTTTACTTTAGAAACAAAATCTCATCTAATCAGTCTTATATATATAGATACACATGTATTTTGTACATATATGTGTGTGGTCTATGAGTACAATTAGAAATGTGATCAAATTTTCTAACAAATTTAAGTGACTAGTAAATGTTTTCTGGAGTCTCTGAGTGTTGCAAATAGTTCAATGCTCTCCTTCTAACCAAGAGATTGTCAGTTCAGTCCCACACAGACATGCCTTGGAAGAAAGGCCTGGTGATTTGCTTCCAAAAGTTCAGAGCCCTGCAAATCTTATGGAGTGTAGTTTTACTCTGCAACATATGGATCAGAATCCACTCCCTAGCAACTGATGGTAGTACAAATTTTTAGGAGGTAAGAGTAGGCAATAGTAAATAAAGTGATTTGGGTTGATTGTCTGACAATGTGTATTTTCAATATTAATTCTCCAGAAATTATTGTCATCAGATGAGTTCTCCAAAGCATGTGGGAAATTCAGAAGGGGGAAGAGGAAACCCAAAGAGCAGAGATACTGTTCTCTTGATACTCCTCATTCCAAAAATGCCAAGAGAAACCTGTCTAGTGAATTTGCCACCTGTGAAGAGCAACCTGGGCCCCCTGTGGACCCCTGGATCCTTCAGACACTTGGGTTAAAAGACCTCAACACCATTGATGACACCGTATCAGCTAACTACAGTGCCCTTTCGTTCCCTCCTGCAAGAATCTCCAGCACATTTTGTCGGTCTCCAGAAGATGCAGTTGATTATGAAAATGCTCCCAGGGAGGATCTGCTGATTGACTATGAAGGTGACAGAACAACCCCCTTACAGAGCACTGCCAACCACAGGGAAGACTTTCACTTCTTTTCTCAACTTTCAAATCCCCCTGGAGGGCTACAAACCCTTCCTTACTACACTGCTGATGTGTCACCCAACAAGACAGACATGGCCTTTTCCACATCCCTGAGCCCTCATTGTAATGTGAAAACACATTCCTTCCACCAGGGACAAGCCTTTGTGCGTCGAGATGAGGAGGGAGGATGGAAATTTACCTGGGTCCCTAAGCAGTCTTAGTGACCCCTCTTCTACAAAACCACTGCCATGAACTCTGTTTACAAAGACCTCTCTTAGACTTGAACTTGACTAAATGGACATGGTAGTGATTGCCCAGACTGTCTCCTGACACTTTAAATGTCACTATCAATTTATCCACTTAAAAATCTGCAGGGAATGGCTTCCAAGAATCCATAATGAAACATGCCTTCTCTTCTTTTGCCTAAATTTGTCTTGTTTATACACCAGTACGAGCTGTTGACTTCTTCCCTTTGTACTATACTTGAAAAGCTATTTTCCAATTACCTATATATTTCTTTGAGACCTAGATATACAGTTCCAATTATAACTACTCTAACAGCTTTTCTTTTTTGGTTAAGCAGTTTAAATGTTTACAGCCTTCACCCTTTCATGTTTTTTTCTCCCCTGCTCCTCTCCGTTTCTGAAAATTCCTGTGTTAGAATGATCCCACTTATCATTTCAAGTACCTATTATTGAGACTTCTAATATTTGTACATTGGGTAGAAACAAGTAGACATAATTTGGATGTGATAATATTATAAGCAGAGCAGTTCAGAAAGTTCAATGTCTCATCGAGTTGGAGAAAAAGAGTCCCTCAAAACAGCTGCAATTCTACTCATGAACAGTACCATTGCTAAATTAAACAGAATTGCGATCACTTCAAAATGGCTCAGGGTGTATCAGCTTCTAGAGGCCCCTCGCACTGTTTTTTCAGCCAATGTGGCTCAAACAAAAGCATTTTTGAGAAGCTTACGGTAACAGACTAAGCCATCATTCTAAACTACGCAGAACGCACAAACTTCTGTTCCTGAAAATATAACCTAGACTAGATTCAGCAGTCCCACTCCTTCAGTCAGTCATTCATGTATCCATTCTTTTATTCATCCATCCACCCAAAATCTTGTAGAATACCTTTTGTGTGACAGGCCCCCTGCAAAAATGTGAGCAAGCTAGACACTGTGACCACCCTCATGGGACTTAGAGTCTAGCCACTCATCTCCTGTGGCTTTCAGAGCCTTACTTCCTTGTGAAGACTTACTTTTCCCAGCTACAGAATACAGAGGTTGGATTGGATAATTGCTAGGATTCTCAGATTCGAGTTTTGGTCCTATTTTCTTTTTTTTTTCCAATACTATCATTTGAAGTCATTATCCATTTTAGTTTAGATAGGCCCTACAGTTATTGTGGTGGGTGAAATTTATATACAATTTAAAAAGACTAAAGGTAAGCCATTTTCAAGTAGCACAAGAGATCACTGCTCTGATCGCTGCATTCTTTTTTTTTGGCTTCAACTCTTATTACAGGTTAATTCAGGTAGTGTGAGAGTAAGTAACTTGTACCTGAAAAACAGAGACATTTGTTTTTAAACAGATGTGCATAGAGTGAGTACAAATATTCACATCAAGAATTTTTCTCTATTAAACTGAAAATTATTTGTATATTATTAATGCTTATGTTAGTATTCCTTCTTTCCCGTACTTAAAACTCCATGCCACTTCTAAAATAATTCTAAATGTTTGCCTACATTTATTAGGTCAAAGTTCAGGTAATGATGAAATGCACCATGCTGAACCCCTCCCCATTCTCCCTACTTTTCAGTAAGTCAGTAAGTCACCTTGTACAATCAATGCCTAAGAATGTGACCGTACCATGCAGAATATTAGTAACAAAGACATGTCTTGTTATTAGTGTTTAGTTTGTGCATTATTTTGATGATTTGGGTAAAGAATCTATTTTAAAAAGTTAGCATTCATTTTTTGTAATAACCCATAAAGAAGAATCTAAGCATTTAATATTATTCTTCGGAACATTTCCATGACTTAGAAAGAGATAGAACACACACACACACATACACACAGACACTTTTTAAAGTGCCTTTGACATTCCAATATCTGTGCTCCTGGTGGGTGAAATATAGCTCCTTTTTCAAATGACACATTGGAAAGTAAGAATTCATTGTACTTAAACATGCTAGGAAGCAAGAAAACAACTATTTGGAAAGTCTAAATGATCAAGTTATAAAATAAAGTTAATCGGCCTACAAATGTGTATTTCATTTTTAGGCATGTGTTATCCATGTTAAAGGAGCTCTGGTGGTGCTGTAGTTAAAGCACTGGGCTGCTCACCAAAAGGTTAGCGATTCAAATGCAGCCACTCTGCAGGAGAACAGTGAGGCAGTCTGCTTCCATAAAGATTTACAGCCTTGAAAACCATATGAGGCAGTTCTACTCTGTCCTGTAGGGTCACTATGCATCGCAATAGACTTGACAGCAGTGAGTTTGGGTTTTGCTTTTCCTATTTTGTTTGTTTGTTTTATCATGTTTTATGTGTCATCAGGAAATACTCAGGTTTAGCACAATACATTAGGTACATAAAACAAATTCACATAAAATATCATTGTTGTTGTTGTTGTTATTTGTCGTTGAGTCAGCCCCGACTCATAGCAACCCCTCCTTGGGTTTCTGAGGCAGTATCACTATGGAAGTAGGATTGCCCAACCTTCCTTCTGAGGAGTGGCTGGTGGG